GCGAAAAAAATTTGGAAAATAACATTGTTATGCTAAAATATCGAAATAAGAGTGAGTTCTGAGATTTAGACCAACCATCCCATAGCAAAATATTCGATTAGCCATGAAGCAACGACTTATACATCGTTGGCTTCGCGCTGCCATAAACCTACTTTACTTGAAAAAAAGTGCAGTTTTATTGAGGAGACCTTCTGAGTTTGTTGAGACGATTACTCGAAATGTCTCGACGATGTTGCCGTATGAATCTTCGCAAGTGTAGTTGCCACCATCGTTCTCATGCACTTTCATAATGAATAATCTCAAACTTTCAGTCGAATCAACAGCGCACGTCATTTGTACCGTATTTTCACTGCTATCATTGCCAGTAATATCATTCCAGGCATAATCACTTAGCAAAAAGCTTCGGTGCGTTTTACTTCCATTGTTGTCGATGTTTGCTGCATCATCGCACACCAACTGAAGCGATGAATTGAGTGGGACTGAGATAACTTTTGGTGAACCTAAATTTGTTCTATTTCAGATTATCGCTTGTTCCAAGATACAGTGAAGCTTCAATTCTGACTTGAGTTTAACTCAATGAAGAAGATTACAATGCTGAATCGATGAACAATATTATAATTATAATCCCAAAATAAATATTCAAAAATTTTCCAGATGATCATTCAAAAAAACTTCAGTGATTCAATGGTTACATTTGATCAAATGGAGAGTAATCTCTGCAATATTTCTATGTCACTATCATCAAATGAAAGTGATTGTTAACAGTGGATTGATTCTTTATTCACGAATTTCAAACGAATTTATGCTTACATGCTCAATGGCACTCAGTATAAATGTGACTGGTTGAGATGTAAAATGTTAGGCATATTATGCTTGCAAAATCATTTTTGATTGTTTTGGAATTACTTGTTATTAATTCTTTCAGAAATTACGTCTTTTCAACTGATTTTGCAAAATAATGCCAGTGACGAACAGCGTGAAATGAGGATTTCCTTTGCGATTTATGAAGCAATTAAATGACTCGTAACCGAAAATATTTTCATGAATTCAAATGAAACGATATTTGACGAAAGAGTTTAAGGTGCAAAATTGCCAGAAATGAGATGGAAGGTAAGAGATGAAAAAATTTTATGGACAAAGTTCTTCCCTCAATGATATTGTGCTTGTGGAATACTCATAGATATAATTGTAATTGATTAATTGTAAGATAAAATGCTATCAGCTAACCTCCATTCAGCGGGAACGTTCGAATGGCGAATATGAAAAAATTGAAGAAAATTATTAGCACAACAATGAATTTCCTTATCGACGAACCGATAATCCGTGTCATCTTATGTGTGACAATCAAATCGGTGATATTGCTTCCAGTTAGCTGAATTGAAGCTCATCGTTCAGTCAAGAGAATCAGTGGAAACAGCAGGGCGACTGCTTGACAATTAAACATTTCATGAGCAAAACGAAAAGTTCGAACTATNAGAGTAATCTCTGCAATATTACTATGTCACTATCATCAAATGAAAGTGATTGTTAACAGTGGATTGATTCTTTATTCACGAATTTCAAA